AGTTTCGTCTGTATCAGATACAACATTATTTTCTTCAGCGGCAAAAGCTATATTTTTTTGTTTTTTCGTTTTCGTGTGATCAGTTAAAATTTCCATTTCATATGTTTTAAGATTTCCCATTAATTGAGTAACCGTTTTATTCTCCCAGCCATTATGTTCTTGGATAGCTGTGACTTTCATTCTAAACCTGGGAGGTAAAGATCTCAGAATTTTCTTAACAAGCTTTGCTTGCGAGAATGGTTCACCAAGGACCATTGCACGATTCGCCAGTTCTTGTACGCGTGTGTGAAAGTCGATGATTGTCTCATCCTCATTCATTCGAAGCTCTTCGAATTCTGACTGGACCAGTTGCAGCTTTGATTGTTTTACCGATGTAGTTCATTCGTAAGTTGACTCAAGAGTTTCCCAAGCACCTTTAGCTGAAGGAATACCTGCAACAATTGAAAACTGACTTTCATGCATAAGAGAATAAATTCTGTCTAAGGCCTTATCATTGTTTCCAGCGCTGGTTATCTCAGCTTGAGACCACTCGGTTTCAGGTTTGGCTACTTGTGTTCCGTCAGTGCTAGAGCTGGCTTTGGTCGGGTGAGTCCAACCTGTAACCACAGACTGCCACACCGCTTCACCTTGAGCTTTTAGGTGTGTACGAGTGCGAACCTTCCAATAGGCATAGTTGTCGCCAGTGAGCTGGGGAAGAATTTTAACACGATCTATTCTGTAACACTCAACAACCCATGAGATTGAACAAATTAACAGAATAAAGAATGGCAATAAAAGACACTGAAAGCTTGAGTTCAAGAGGCACGGAATAGCCAGATCGACAGACTAATAAATTAAGTCTGCAGGCTCTGATACCAATTGAAATTGCACCGTGAATCTTGAATTCAATTACACCTTTAATGTTCTACTTGTTTTTAGAAGAGATATTGCATTATCAATTATTTAGGTTATTTAATGAACATAAATAACAAAATATAAAAGCATAAAAATAAAACAAGTACTCAGAGATTGATCACGCAGTTTGAAGCGCTTCTCCTACGTCTGCGGGGCAACTCACGTCTGCCCAATCCACTATAGATGTTCTCCAAGGAGTATTACAAGAGGTAAGTACAAATGACCCTCAGCCTTTACCACTACAACACCTTCCTATCATCTACTCAGGATTGTACGTGCATGCCGTGACGATCTTCAACCGAAGCTTCAGCTGTACCAGGTACTGTCTGTGCAGACCAGAATTGAACTACAATAATAGTAATATAATTTAGCTAATTAATTTAAATAGCACTTGTGTAGATTTCACTCAATATAGCAATTCACAAAAAATGGCAACTTTCCTCTTTGGAGAGGCTTCCTTTTATAGTTGTTTAACCCATCACCTTGATCCTTAATATTAGCATCCCAACCTCTTCATTAAATCAGAGCCACAAGTTTTATTTGAATGCCTCCAAATACTCACTGCATTGCTGACTTCTCTTTTTCTAATCAACCAATTAAAATAAAGCCATGCAAAACTTAGATGATAGGAAGTGGTCCAAAACAGAAGTTTTAAACTAAATAAAACTAATTAATTCTAATTCAGGTGAGACTAAATAAATTATCCAACAAAGATTTAATGTGTACTAAAATTGTACACTTATATTGTCTAATATATACAGGTTCCATATTACTTGTGCATTTCATAACATACTAAATTCAAGTACTGCAACTCTTCCACAGACTTCTCTTCCAACATTTCTTTCCCTTGGAAGGCTTGCCTTACTTCAGCTTGTGCTTTGGCTATCACCTCTGGCTTTTTCACCATTTCCACCCGCGCGCATAATGTGCTGCTCCAAACATATCCGGCATATATGCATGCATTCATGCTTTTTATCTTAATAACTCAAAAACTAAAACATGACAAGTAAGAAGCTCAATCGGGCCATCTCATTCTGTTTTGAGCTACCCTTATATGATTGTTGTTGGACTTGATTTTATTTTTTGATTGAGATTAAAATTCTTGCTTATAACTCTAAAACCTCAATTGTCAGGCTTATTGACTGAACTAAAACTTTTGACATTTTCAAATTAACATCCCACCAACACCACCACCGGCTACCACCATCACCACTTATTATTATTATTATTATTATTATTATTATTATTATTATTATTATAAAACAAGTAATATGTTCATTTTTTTTAAAAAAAATGAACCAAACCAAAAAATAATAATTTCTTAACTTTCAACCAAATAGAAAAGATAGTTTTTTGACCTTCAGTCCAAAACCAGAGAATTAAAATATTTTTCAGAAAATGAGTCACTTTCTGAAAATCATTTTTCGAAAAGTATTTTCAACTTTCCAAACGGATCCTTTATTTCTCAATTGTGATCAAGTATAAATTTAGTCCTTTAATTATTTGTAATATAAATTTATGTTATTGGTTATTACTTATTAATGAAGGCTAAGTGAGATGGTGGGTTCAGTCTCTAGATTTTGTTATCGGTTAAATTTGTCACTTCTTTAAAAATTTAAAAACAAAAAAGTCTGCCAAGAACCTCGTGGTCTGTTGGCACCAAGTTGCTTCTTCATATGGGAGGTTATAAGTTTGAACTTCAGTGGAGGCGATATTGACTCTTTGTGCTTTAACAGATACTGGACTCTAATATAGTCAGTAGTATTAAACAAAAAAGTCCGTTCAAAGTCTAAGTATGCACACAATCAGTAGTATTAAGAAAAAAAAAAAAAAGGTTCGTTCAAAGACTAAGTATGCACACAATCCAGTGCGTGAGTAATGGAATTGTTATCAATTTATTCAAAAGCAAACAATTCAACGATATATGATTTATAAGTTTGAAACCCATTTTGATATGTACTTGTCTAGTTGATGAAGAACTTGTACAATGCTTATGGATGACTTTTGTTCGTGGCCAAGACAAGTGAAAAAGAAACAATTAGAACTACTGAGTCAATAAATGATCACCGAGTCACTGACTTTGATTACACGGCAAAATTTCATGGGGTTTTTATGATTTAATGAACTATTTGTTTCACTTAAACTTTTTTATGCAACATATTGCAAGTTTTTTTTTTCTGCAACATATTGCAAGTTTTTTTGTTTCTTCATTTTTACTTCCACAGCTATTAAACCATTTTAATATTTGGTACGTCCTTAAAATGGGATTCTAATTGGAATTTGAACTTGAAAATGAATTGTTGTAAATGGGTGCATGTGTCCAGGCCACGTAGAGCGCCAAGAAGATCGGAGATCAACAAAGATTTTAAGCCATTTGCCCTAACCGTGAATATTCAAAATTAAATCTTTCTTGAAGCATAAAAAGTCAACAACGCCACCACTAACGTTCGATCTCATGACTTCTCACATGGAAAAGGCCACTACATGTCATCTGAGTACAAAATGCTTGACAAAATTAAATCTTTCCGATGCACTGCTTTAAAATAATTGGTTTTTAATTTTAATGGTTCTCATTGAAATGCGTGTGTATATATATATATATATATATATATATATATATATATATAGGGATTGATGTAAATGAAAACAACCCATTCCATATAAGATGATGGCTACAATCATGGTTATCAATTGTTTTAGTAAAATAAACACGAGTCAATTTTATAATTATTAAAAAAATTTTCCTTTATTTTTTTTTATCTGTCCTCAACAATTGATTTAGCTAAATGAATGGATTAGAAATATATTGTTCTTAAACTAGCATGAAATAATAGTAGCAACCGATTGTTCCTAAAGTTTATAAACATGCATATTATACTCTTAATTTAAAATAATTCAAATTATGTTGTATGAATATATAAAAAGAATTAATTTTCTTTTACGTAACTCAGATAATAGCCTTATCCTTTAATTTGACCATGGTATTACTAATATATGTTGTAACAACATCCTCATTTAAGTCGGAGGACCAAATGAGGCAAATTATGCTGTGCATCCGTATGCACCATGTATGGTGCATACGGATGCAAAAACGACGTCATTTTATTAAAAACGCGCATCTCTCCTTAAAAAAAAAATTTCAGGTTCGATTCACAGCAACAACATATGAACTAAAATTTCATAATCAATGAACTATAATTTCAGAATCGATGAACTATAATTCCATAATCTATGAACTAAAATTTCATAATCTAATCTATGAACTAAAAATTTCAGAATGAATGAACTAAAATTCCAAAATCTATGAACTAAAATTTCAGAATCGATGAACTACAATTCCAGAATCGATGAACTATAATTCCAGAATCAATGAACTAAAATTTCATAATCTATGAACTAAAATTCCAGAATGAATGAACAACATAATGTTGTTGCTGAGAATCGAACCTGACTTTTTTTTTAAGGGGAGACGCGCGTTTTTAATAAAACGACGTCGTTTTTGCATCCGTATGCGCCATGCATGGTGCATACGGATGCACAACATAACTACTCACCAAATGAGACAAGACATTAGAAGTCGTAGGATCTAATATAAAAATATTAATAATTGAAGATCAAATATAAAAATAATTTAATAGTTGTGGATCAAAAGTGAAAAAGAAGCTCCACTTATAGCCATTAAAACTTCTCCATTCTTGTGAACAGGTTGGAATGTCCTTATTCTTATTATTAGGACTCTATTATTCATATTAGACTAGGACTATATTATTCGTGTTAGACTAGGATTCTATCTAGCATCTCTATATATTCTCTCTCTGTACTTTCAGACATTATTATTGAATATAACACAATTATATTCTCATATGGTATCAGTTAGCTAGGGTTTTCTTTTCCAACATCCATGTTCCTCACTTCGTAGCAGTAGCCGATGGCATCGAACCAAGATACACCGTATGAGAAGCGGTTCGGTCAACGACGTGACATTGATGATCCGTGTCAAATTTGTAAAGGTTTCGACCACATGGGAGCCAATTATTTTTGGCGTTATGATCCGTGTCAAATTTGTAACCGTTTTAGTCACACGGGAGCCAATTGTTTTTGGCGCTATGATGATCCTTGTCAAATTTGTGAATGTTTTGGTCACACGAGAGCCAACTTTTTTCGGCGTTTTTCAAGGGCTCCGGGTTTTCAGGCTAATGTGGCCATCTCTGGTGATAACGGTGATTCCAACTGTCCTCATTAGTGGTTCCCTGACACTGGTGCTACAAATCATCGTGCTACGCCTGATTCTTGTTTGATGACTTCTGCGACAAGTTATGATGGCCCGGAGACTCTGCGAGTCGGCAATGGTACAAGTTTAGCTATTGTTAATGTTGATTCTGCTTCATTAGCTACTGATTCTATGTCTTTTAAATTACATGATGTTTTGCATGTCCCTGGTCTCTCTTCTTCTCTATTATCTGTCCAACGCTTTGCAAAGGACAATAATGTTTTCTTTGAGTTTCACCCTCTTTGTTTCTATGTGAAAGACATTTTGACCAAGAAGGTTCTTTTTAAGGGACATGCGTCTGGAGGTCGCTATACATGGCCTGCGTCTTCTGTTTCTCCTGCTGCATTTGTTGTTGCACGTTCCTCTTACGTTTGGCACATGCGGTTGGGGCATCCTCATTCTCGAGTCTTACGTAAAATTTTAGCGCCTTCGTCTGTTGGTACATTTAATTCTAGTGATCTTCCCAATGTCTGTTCCTCTTGTCAATTAGGAAAATCTTCTCGTTTTCCTTTGTCTCGTGTCGAAACTACTAGTACGCATCCTTTGGAATTAATTTATTCAGATATTTGGGGCCCTGCGCCATTACTTTCTGCGTCTGGCTTTAAATATTTTGTGTTGTTTGTGGATGATTACACTCGTTATATGTGGTATTATCCCATGCGTGCTAAATCTGATTTGTATGCTATATTTGATAAGTTTCGGTCACTAGTTGAACGTTCCTTTTCTCGCAAGATTATTTCTTTTTAATCTAATTTAGGGGGAGAATATAAAAAGCTTGGTTCCACTCTTACGTCCTTAGGTATTCGTCACAGGTAATCCTGTGCGTATACTCATGAACAAAATGGCAGGGTAGAACGTAAGCATAGGCATGTTGTTGAAACGGGACTAGCATTAATGGCTCAATCCTCTGTTTCGTCTCGTTTTTGGGATTATGCTTTTGAAACTGCGGTTTATCTAATCAATAAAATGTCTACTCCTGTCTTATCTGATAAATCTCCTCATTATCTTTTGCATCGGTCTCCGCCATCTTATTCATATCTTCGTGTTTTTGGGTGTTTATGTTTTCCAAATCTGCGTCCCTATAATCGCAACAAACTACAGTTTCGGTCATCCCCTTATGTCTTTCTAGGATATCCTCCATCTTTTCGTGGCTATCGTTGTTTAGACACTAACAGTAACAAGGTTTTTATCTGTCGCCATGTGCGATTCGATGAGACTATCTTTCTTTTTGTTGCTTCGGTGGATTCGCAGGTTCCAAAACCACGCCCGGAGCCGTGGGGTGTTGCACCAATTGTTTGTGGTGGTGATCCGACTATTGTCACGGCTCGTGACCCTCCTGTCGCGCCCATAGCCGCTTCTGACCACCACCGCCAGCAACCTGCTACTGCCGAGCCCGTGACCGAGTCCGAGCGGACAGTCACGGACCAGCCGGCTCCTCGGCCAAGAGGCCAGCCTCATGGCCAGTCTCGTCCCGCGCCCTCACCCGTTCGCTCTCATGGAATGAATATGAGAAGTTCGGGACCACATGATCATGTTGCTTTATCTGCTGCTGTTACTCCTGAGCCTACATGTTTTACTCAAGCGGTTAAATTTCCTGAATGGCGGGATGCAATGGATTTGAAATTTAATGCCTTGGTGCCCAACAATACATGGAGGCTTGTTCCCTTTAAATCAGGTAAGAATGTAGTTGGATGTAAGTGGGTGTTTAGAACCAAGAGAAAGGCTGATGGTTCGATTGAGCATTACAAGGCTCGGTTAGTTGCCAAGGGATTCAATCAGATTGCTAGTGAGGATTTCTTTGAGACCTTTAGTCCCGTTTTTAAACCGACTACGGTAGGTCTTCTCTTATCCCTAGCTATTTCTCGTGGATGGACTATTCGACAGCTAGACATACACAATGCTTTCCTAAACGGAAATCTTGCTGAGACAGTTTATATGCGCCAGCCCCTGGCTATGAAGACAAAATGATGCTCGTGCACGTTTGTCTCCTTCAACGTTCTTTGTATGGGCTTAAACAAGTTCCCCGTGCTTGGTTCACACGTTTGCATGATTTTCTGGTTTCTGTTGGTTTCTCACCTTCCAAGACTGATATATCTTTATTTATATATTCACATGGCAATACTCGTCTATATTTTCTGGTTTATGTGGATGATATTTTTGTTATGGGTTCTGATTCGGCTCATGTGACTGATCTTATTGACAAGTTGGCTCTTGAATTTAAAGTTCGTGATATGGGAGTGCCCTCTTTTTTCCTGGGTATTGAGACTATTCCGTTGTCTGGTGGCATGCTTCTGTCTCAACAACGGTACATGAAGGATATTTTAAAACGGGCAGGTATGGTTGATTGCAAGCCCGTGGCCACTCCGGTTTCAACCGCGAAGGCTGAGACTGGTGTCATGGTGCCATATGATGATCCCACTCAGTATCGCAGTTTTGTAGGTGCTCTACAATATCTTACGGTAACTCGTCATGATCTTTCCTATGCAGTCAATCGTTTGTGTCAGCACATGCACTCTCCCTCCACTGCGGATTGGGCGGCTCTCAAGAGGGTGTTACGGTATGTAAATGGGACACTACATCTCGGTCTTAAAATTACTTCCTCTCCCGCTCTGGATATTCATGCTTATTCTGATTCCGATTGGGCTTGCAATCCTAATGATCGAAAATCTACTAGTGGTTTTGCTGTGTTTTTGGGGACCAATCTTGTCTCATGGGTTTGTCGAAAATAGCGTATTGTGGCTCTTTCCTCAACTGAGGCAGAATACAAAGGACTCGCTGATGTTTCTGCAGATGTTACTTGGCTCGTATCTCTCATGTAGGAACTCGGGTTTGCGCCACCTTCTGTGCCCAAACTCTGGTGTGATAATCTGGGTGCTATTTATCTTTGTGCTAATCCGATGTTTCATGTTCGCACCAAACACATTGAGATCGACTACCACTTTGTTCGCGATAAAGTAGCAAAGAAGGAATTACAAGTCAATTTAATTTCTATCAAAGATCAGATAGCGGATATTTTTACTAAGTCTCTTTCGTCGGTACGTTTTAATTTACTCTGTTCCAAGCTCATTGTTTTGGCTGACCAAACTTGTGCTTGAGGGGAGTATTAGGACTCTATTTTTCATATTAGACTAGGAATATATTATTCGTGTTAGACTAGGATTCTATCTAGCATCTCTATATATTCGCTTCATGTACTTTCAGACATTATTATTGAATACAACACAATTATATTCTCATCCTTATTGTCAACCCATTAACTACTCAACTTTGGATTGTTCCATTTCTGAATTTGACATCCATAATCTTTCGACAATCAAATTAAAAATTGGATGAAATTAAAAATTAATTGATGTAAATTGTTGCAAGTATCTAGGCCACGTAGCGCCAAGAAGATCAGAAAACAATAAAGACTTAATGATGGCCGGGGGTTTGGAATTAGATGTTTTTAGATAGGCGATTCAGATTGATTCTTAATTTATTTCATGGAGAGTGATTTTTACAGAAACGCACCTCTCTCTCTCTCTCTCTCTCTATATATATATATATATATATATATATATATATATATATATATATATATATATATATATATATATATATATATATATATATATATATATATATATATATATATATATATATATATATATATATATATATATATATATATATATATATATATATATATATATATATATATATATATATATATATATATATATATATATATATATATATATATATATATATATATATAGGCTTCGAATCCGGTGCACCCCTATGATAAATGAGTTCATGAGAACTCATGATATCCCTTGATTAATTTTTCATCAATGGTTAAGATTATTAGAGATTGTTAAAGTAATTAAGGATATATAATAATCAAAAGGATTAAATTGTAATTGTAGTTATTTATTTATTTATGGATATAATAGTAATGGAATCTTAAACATTAAATTAGGGATATTATGAATGGTAATTGAGGACATCGATTGTTAAATGTTCTGCATAGACGTATTAAAAAAAACACGTGTATAGGCAGTACAGAGGCAACCAAGGATCACACTTCAATAATGGCTGGTACTAGCACAGGTAGGTGCATAAGCGTGTATAGGCCAGTGCATTGTCGGGTTTTTCCTTTCTTAGATTTTTGTTGTTGTGTCGAACGAACTATAAGTTAGGGTTGTTTGTGTGCCTCAGTAAGCAGCATATAGGTGGTAGCGTGGTTGCATATTAGCTTGTGTAACCCTCCCGGGTTTATTACATCGTGTATATAAAACGGAAGTTTAGGGGCCGGGTGCGTCGACTTAGAATAGTCTGTGCATTATAGCTGCGTATGAGGAGGGAATCGTTTTCCTGTATTAAATTTGTTGTTTGTTTGGTTAGATGAGCTAAATGTAGGGGTAAGTCTGTGCATGCGGGACTGAGTGATTTTTAAAAAAATAACATGAGCTTGTGTGTGAAAGCTTCTATAGCATGTGCGTACAGATTTCAGTTCTACCATGCATTTTTCCCACCCACGTAACACGCATCATTTATTTGAAAAAGCAAAAATCAAACCCACACACAGACAAAAAAAAATGATGTACCTCAAGACATGACTCACAGTGAGGACATAATGTAAAAAATTGTGGAATAAAATATGGCTGTGTGTGAAAACTAACATGAGGCTGATGTTTCATAGTTTAAGTGGTTTAAAAAAAAATTCCATAAGCATGTGCGTGAAACTTCTACATGTGCGTAAAGGTTCTCAAATTTAAGATGCATTCCCCCCCCCCCCCCCCCTGTTTGGTGATATGTATACTTGGAGTGACTAAATGATGGTTAACTACTAAGTGGATATGGTTTAATTGTTTGCAAGCTAAAATACAAGTGACATGCCCCAGTGCGCGGGAGGGGCTAAAGCGTGTGCGTAAAAGAATACCAGCGATAGCGTGTTCCAAGTGAAACATGAGCAAGAAGTTTAAAAAAAAAAAAAAAAAAAAAAAAAAAAGATTACCAAAAATGTAATTGAGTACTGGATACATCTGTAACACGCACCGTTTATTCGACATCAGTCTGTGTAGCGCAATAGGACATCAGTCTATGCATAGCGCGGATGCTGATGCATGCATGTACCGATGTTAGCATAAGAGGATCAAAGTTAGTGCATACAACTGTTACAGTGTAGGTGTTATTCCTCTGATTTGGATTTTTTACCCCATGGCAACCATGTTTGCACGAACTTTTAAAAAAAACGAAGGGGAAAAAAAAATCACACACTACAATTGAAATACGGGAAATATCTGTAACATGCAATGTTGATGTGAAAAAACATAAATCAAACAAACATCTAAGAACACAAAACAAAGTCACAAAAAAACATTTTTTAATGTGAGGAAACAATGTCAAAAATTGAGTATTTAATTACAGTCTTCCACGAGCCGCCACACTGGAACTTCGGCATCATCAGCCTGTAGCAAAGGTGCGACCACATTGCCAACACCTACCGGCACAACCGCTATAGCAACTACCGGCACACACGCAACAGCAACTACCGGCTCAACCGGAACATCACCTGAGAATGGCAAGAATTAATCAGAGTAACGATAAAAAAAAATGAAAAAAAAATGCATATTCAAACCCAAAACTGCATCCCCCTACTGTCGATATGTCTGTCTTTAAAAAAAAAAGGCATTATAAAACTAAGGAACCAAGATAAAGAAAGCAATCCAAAAACCGGTAGTGCCAATTAGCACCAAAATTTTACCGCTAACTCGCACACGGCAACAAACTAATACGCACAAAACAACACCCGTAGCCACGGTACCCCCCAAACTCCTAAGAAAGAATAAATAAATAAATAAATAAACAAGAACCGACCCAACAAAAGTAGTGCACCAACCTAAATGTAAAAAGAAAAAAAAAAAACAGTAGTGTCAATTAACAACTAAACTAAACCCTAACTTGCACACGGTAATATACTACTACGCACAAACCACCACACCTAACTATGGAACCCCAGAAAAACCACTAAAAAAAACAATAAGCACGCACCAACATAATACTAGTGGCGCACCAACCTAAAAGCAAAAATAACAACAAAACAAGCAGTGGCAATTTCCAACAACACTTTACCCCTAACTTGCACACGGTAACAAACTAATACGCACAAACCACCACCCGTAGCCGCGGTACCCCCGAACTCCTAACAAATAATAAATAAATTAATAAACACGCACCGACCCAATACCAGTAGCGCACCAACCTAACTGCACAAGCCCAAAAAATCCTTAAAAAAAAAAAAAAAAACAATAAACACGCACCAACCCAATACTAGTGGTGCACCAACATAAATGCAAAACCGACAACAAAACCAGCAGTAGCAAATACCAACAACACTTTACCCTAACTTGCACAGGGTAACAAACTAGAACGCAACAACCACCCCACCCAAAACCAGTAGCGCACCAACCTAAAACGAAAAAAAACAGGAAAAACAAAACCACAATGCAGATTACAAACTCCAAACCCAAACACACAAATTATTGGACCCATATGCATTTACCCAAGCAAAAAAATCAAACCCCAGACGCCATTCACCTACTGTGGAAATGACTTTCATTAAAAAAAAAAAAAAAAGATACAGTAAGACAAAAATTGGCTGAGATTGTCTGAAAAAATCATAAACAATTAAAAATAAATAAAAAACCTAAACGTAAACATAAATAATATGAAAAGTAACAACGTCACCAACATAAAGAACAAAACCTATCACAGGTCATATACCCACACATTTGAAGCCTCATACCTTTCACCCCTAACAAAATATTGTGCACATACTAAAACAATAATGCAAATAACACTTTTGCAAACAAACAACACACCAACAATTTATAAAATACAAAAGATTAGAATAGGCAAACTCCTCAAAATAAAAATGGAATGATGAACCACACCGGAAAAAAAAAAAAAAAACCACCAGAAAAATTAAAAAAAAAAAAAAAAAAACTCATATGCTTCAATATGATCTGTACAAGTTAAAACTCATAGAACATACATAATGAAGACTGTGATGCAATGTTTAATGATAGCAGCTATCATTAATAATCTGAAAAAACTCATCAGTTCCACTGACAATCTGAAAAAGCACAAGCATATTAATCAAACTACAATTCAAATTCTTACTTTTTCCCTATTTAAATATAGTCTATTTTGCAAATACGAATATAAACACTCTCTAATTTCAAATTGTAGATTTCTAATAAAAGAGAATTTTTTTTCAATATAATGATTTAGTTCTTAGATCTACGAAAATAGAAGCAAAAGCAAAGGATTTCATTGCATGCATTATTAATCAAACTTAGAATACTAAATATTAGAAATAAGTATGAAGATTATAACGATCTAAAATATGGATCTAATGAACACTGTTATTATACATAAATAATAAGCAACATCAATAAATGGAAGTAAGAGAACACATACACTCCTTCGTATGAACTTCAAAATTTGCTTGTGTTGAGAAGATCAGTTGATTATTGATGTTTTGAGAGTGGGTACTGAACAGACGATGACACGGTAATACAGAGAGATTTAGAGCGTCGGTGATGTCCGGAAATGGTGAGTTTAGATGAATTGTGCGAAATGATGATGTTAAGTAAATTGTCAAAGAAACGGTATTACAGAGACATAGAGAGACGGTGATGTCCGGAGATAGTTAGGTGAGATGAAACCGGCGAGAGAAGGACGAACACGTTCTACGCACAAACCAACCCAAGCACCCACTATACCACGGCAAAAGCTCAAAACAATAAAATAAAAATAATAAACAGCACTGAAATTCAAACAATTTTCAACACAAAAAATACAACAATAATTAAAAATTGCAAAAGATGAAACTATACAAGCTGCTCATCAATGGCGGCCAGAGAAAAAAAAAACAGAATAAATCACACAAGCAAGTATTCCTACACCGCCAACACCCCCCACGAAAAACAATACCCACTGTAAGAAAAACCCAACACCCCATGTACCACCCAGACCAAGACCCCTTACGTTTAGAGAATATAAAAAAAAAAAAAAAAAAAAAAAAAAAAAAAAAAAAAAAAAAAAAACCCTAACCCAGAAATCGTACCCCTTCCACCATCACACCCGCCGCACCCCCCCTCCCAAAACCCTAACGATTGACGACCGACCAACAAACACACCGGTAAAACCCCCCAAAAAAAACAAAAAAAACAAAAAAATCATCAGCACAACACCGCGAGAAAAATACAAAAACCCCAAACCACTATTGAACACTAGCCAACCCACAAACCTCTGGAAAATAAAACCCCAAAACAAACAACGAAAGAGGAGAAAAAGGATAGAAGGAAACGGAGAAAAAAAATACCTAAACTAGAAGCGGAAGAGGTGCCCCTAAGCCGCTTAGACGGCCTCCTACTGGAACCGGCCATGGAGAACGCTCGGAACACCTGTGTACCGGAGGGAAGAGATGATAGGAAGAAGAGCAGGCGGGAGAGACGAGGAGGCTGCGTTTTTTGATTATAAATCGATAACAAGGAGAGAGAAACAAAAAGAACTACCTATTATGACTACATCCACGCGCAAATTAACCGGCGAAACAAACGAGATGTCATATTAAATACAAAGAGAAAATACAAAAACGCCCCTGCCTAACTACACACCAAGCGCACGTGAGTTTAAATAACCAAACATCTGAATCGTCCAAAAATTAAAATCAACGATCAGGGACTGTGCTCACGGGCTCGGCTGACTAGGGGGTGTGCACCGGATTCAAAATCTATATATATATATATATATATATATATATATATATATATATATATATATATATATATATATATATAAAAAAGAAACACATGCAAGCGATTAAACCAAGTTCTTGGGGCCTTTTTTAATCTATATAAAGAATGTTTCCACAGGCAAAAATGATTGGAAAACTGGTTATCATTATACCCAGGTGGCTGCTTCATATAAACAATTTCAGATAATTTCCCATTCAAAGAGGCATTGTGCACATCACGCTACTTAACAACTCAACCGCAGAATATAGCTAAAGATAGAAGTAACCTGACAGTTATGAGTTTGACCACTGGGTTGAATGCGTCGAAAAAATCCTGTCCAGGTACTTGATTAAATCATTTGGCTACTAACCTTGCTTTGTGCCATTCAATTGATCTATCATCATTCCTGTTTGTGCAAAAAAACATTTGCACCCAATAACATTCATATCTATCTGTGATGGAACAAGGCACCAAGACTCATTCTGAAGAAGTGCATTAAACTCTTCGTCTATTGCCTTGCGCCAGTCACCGTGTTTTACTACATGTATATAACAAGTGGGTTTAGTAGGACAAACTTGAGCAGAGAGAGCCAAAAGATGAGCTTGAGAACGGCTCCGAGTATCCATGGTGTGCGATCGGACCATGGACTTCATGGACCGCCCCCTAGGCCGACCTCGGGGTTGGGTGGCACCACCGCTTCAGTGGGTTTAGCGTGCTCGGCCTAAGCAGGTTCCGGCAGTTCAGTGTGAGCCGGGGCCGGTTCGAGCAGTGCGGGCTAAACCGTAGTAGTGGGCGGGACAGGAACGAGCACAGATTTTGCCCATGGTTGATTTTTCTGAACCAGAGGTGCCTGCAAAACACTTATAACACTGAAAGGAAAAACTCCTTCATCAAACCGAACATGCCTGCATACATATATCTTGTTAGTTTATAAGTCCATGCACCTATACCCCCTAAATGACTCAGGATAGCGTAGGAAGACACAATGTGAAGATCTGTAAGACATTTTGTGACGATTGTAGGGACGTAAATAAGGATAGCATAAATACACAAAGACACGAAGAAAAGAATATGTAGGAGGGGATTTATGCCACAAAAGATGAGGACTTAATTTATTTAACACAGTAGATGACATCCTATTAAATAAATAAATCGCAGTCTCAAATGCAAAATCCCAAAATTTAGAAGGAACAGAAGCACGACTTAAGAGAGTTAAACCTGTTTCAACAGTGTGTCTATGCTTTCTTTCAACGAGAACATTTTGTTCATGAGTGTATGCACAAGATTCTCTATGAATAATGCCTAGTTGAGCTAAGGTGGAATGTAACTTTTTATATTCAGCTCCTAGATTAGGCTGTATGGATGTAATCTTACGATTGAAGGATCGCTTAACCATAGCACGAAACTTATCAAAAATTGCATACAGATCATATTTTTGTGCCATAGGGGAATACCAAGTGTAACGAGAGTAGTCATCAATGAAAATAACGATGTAACGATAACCATTATTAGAGAGCATGGGAGGTGGTCCCCCAATGTCTGTATAAACTAAATCAAGAATACATGAACTAGAAGACTCAACACGTGGTAAGAAAAAACGTGCAGATTTCCCTAGTTGACATGCATTACATAGACCAGAAGTACATCGAATAATATTTCTAGGCCCACTAACCGAACAAGACGAACGAATCTGACTAAGAACACGATGGTGTGGATGACCCAAACGATCATGCCAGACTGACGCGGAGGCTCGAGCTAAAAGAAATGCAGTATGAGATGAACTTGGAATGGGAAGCTTGTAAAGTCCCCCAGAGCTATTGCCCCGTAGAAGAGTTTCATTAGTTTTGATATCCTTCACAAAAAAAAAAAAAAAAGTGGGTGAAAATAAAAAAACACTTTATTATCTGACGCAAATTTTTTGACTGATAATAATGATGTAGACAAACAAAGAACATGAAGGATATTAGACAATTGAAAAGATCTAAAAGGGGTATTAAAAGTAGCATGACCAACACGACTAATAGATAAAGCCATACCGTCAGCGACATGTAAGTGTCATTACCATTGTACTCCTCCGAGATAGAAAGAATAGCTATGTCTTGGGTAGCATGATTGGTTGCACCTGTGTCTAGAAACCAAGTATGAGACCCTTGAGAATTTGAATGAGGTTCTTGATATATTATATTAGCCTGAGGATCTTTGGCATATCGGAGATGACACGTGACCGCAGTATGACCAAACACCCTACACAATTGACATTTAGGCTGTCAATTACCATTCCTGCTGCCGCCACGTCGTCCACCGCCACAATTCCGATCGTCGCCACCACCGCGCGGCTGACCGGACTGGTCGTTGCTCTGCCCGGAGTTGCGACTGCCTCCACCACGAGACAGGGAGCCTCCTCCACGTTATGCCGTAAAGGCCGTCGGCGAGCCACCGCCTGGACAACCACTCGTCATGAATTCCTCTGCACAAAGAAGATCGGCGAGCTCATGGAGCGTGACAGGCTGGCCGTGAACATTGAGGGAAGATGTGAACCCCCGGAACTCAGGCCGTAACCCTCAGAGAACGTAAAGATTCTGTTCCTCGAGAGACAACGGCAGGCCGGCGAGGGTAGGCTCTTCAACCAAAATCCTTGCTTTTCCAATTTAATCGACAACAGACGCATCTCCTTAGTGAAGCGACTACAACTGGCCGAGTAGGTTCAAGTCGCGACAGTGAGACGACGACGCGAGGGAGCTGACGATGACAGTCCAAACCACCTGGCTAGTCTGATGACCGATGGCCAACGGCATCACCTCATTGGATAGTGTTGACATAAGCATCGACAGGAGGGCCTGATTCTGTCGAACCCAGGTGCGATGCGCGGGATTGGGTTGTGCCGGCGTACTGTTTTCACCGCAGGAAAGCAAAGCCGGCGGACATGGGTTCGTACCATCAATGAACCCCATTAAATCATGACTATCAAGAAAAAGAACAACATGGGCTCTCTAAAACAGGAAGTTCTTATAGGTCAGTTTGATACTGATAAAGTGGTGAGCGGTGGACAAAGAATTCATGGTCGATGTGACCGAAGAGATAACAATATTAGAAACAGTCCATTTTGAAGAGTCAACAGCTCCGTCAGCCATTGGAAAGAAACCCTAGCTTAACTGATACCAGATGAGAACTAATAGAATTGTATTTAGTAATGTAATTACAAATGTACAGATTACAAGTATATATAAAGGGAGAGTCTCAATGAGACTGGGATAGGGAGTCATAATTTATCTAACTCAAATACATAGAGTCCTAATAAGAATAACAAATGAGATAACCCATTCCTTAAAGGGGTTGTTATACAGTGGACCATAGTCCATAGTGCTATGTGTACCATGGTTGTCAAATGAAAATGTAGTAGAATTAAAATGATACTTTAGTGTTACTAAAATGAAACTAGTGTATGTAAGAAAAGAGATAATACATCCAATGGTCCTCCGAGTATTAGCGATTTACCAGTTGTGGTCATCCGAGATTTAAATGACCTCCAATGGCCCTACATGTTTTAAAAAATAACCACCCGTGGTCCTTTTAGGACGTCTCGTGGTCATTTTAAACTCGGTTTTTTTTTTATTTTTTATTTTTTTTATTTTAATAAGAATTAGGACCACATGTGGTTATTTTTTAAAACATGGAGGACCATTGGAGGTCATTTACAACTCGAATGACTACAACTGGTAAATCGCTAATACTCAGAGGACTATTGGAGGTATTAACTCGTAAAGAAATGAAACTAAAAAACAAAGCTCATTCAGTAACGTATATTGTCAAATGAAACTATAGTATAATTAAAATGATTCTTTAATGTTGTTAAAATGATACTAGTGTGTGTGGAGAATGAAACTAAAATCAGAGCCATACAATAACATATATTATCAAATGAACTTAGGGTGTAATTAAAATAATACATTAGCATTATTATAATTAAATTAGTGTGTGTGGAAAATGAAACTAGAAAATAAAGCTCATACGATAATGTATATTGTCAAATGAAACTGTAATAGAATTAAAATGATACTTTGGTATTGCTATAATGAAATAGTATGTGTAGAAAATGAAATTGAAAAACAGAGCAATATTGTCAAATGAAACTAAAGTGTAATTAGAATGATATTTACTTTATGGATTACACTACTACATGGATCATGGTCCACAGTAAAATTTGCCTTCCTAGAGTATTATTGAGTAGACCATGGTTTATACACCTGTGTGAATCATGAATAAAAAATATATTATTTGTGTACATAAAGTGAATTATTTTGTTTACTATTAAATAATATACACTGAGTACAAAAATAATATATTTTTAGTATATTAAAAATGTATTTTATATTCAACAAAAATATATTATTTGGGTACTAACATATATACATTATTTTGTATAATGTATTTATTCAATACACAAATAATATACTTTTAGTATATTGAAAATGTTTTTCTTTTATGGTACAAACAATAATTTGCCGGTAACGTAACACTTACCTTGCCCCCTAAACGCACTCATCCTCCGCAATTTACATGCAAAAACAGGCAATGATTGACAACGTGTTTCTTACGGATTTCATGCCGTAATTAACTGCAGAATTCGTACTTCCTTGACTTGCAAATTATACGAGTCGTTCCCCCAAAACAAGGTACTTTCAGACATTATTTATTAAAATGGGATAATTTTAAATTTATTTAACAAACTATTGTAAGAAAAATTAAGAATCAATTGCAGTCATCTGAATAGATCGAACAGCTCGAATTGAATGCTACTAGCTCTATTAGATTGTAGTATCTGTTCATATACTTTCTCAACCTACTGAAACACAAAGAGCTAATAACGCCTCCACTAAGGCTCGAACTTACAACCTTCCAAATGCAAGTCCAACCCGGATACCATTGGACCACATAGTCCTAGTCAGGAGTTAAAATAATGTATTTGTTTTCTTTCTTTAATTTTTATAGCTTTCGGATGTTAATTTTCTTATTACTAATACATACTCCCACTGCCACTTATATAAATAGCCTACATTACATATTCACCTACACCACCCCACAACTTATTAATCAACATAGTGATCTTATAGATGGCCACTTCTCAAATATTCCTCTCTATTGTTTTTCATTTTCTTCTTCTCTTTTCACTGCCTTTGGAGACTGCAACTTCTGAAACAACTCAGGGAAGAGCCCTTCTCAAATGGAAGAACACCCTTGATTTCAATACTGCTGTTCTTCATTCTTGGTCTATTGATAATCTTGACAACATTTGCTGGAACTGGACGGGTATCACTTGCAACAATGCTGGAGCTGTTTATAAGATAAAACTGGACAATTTCAACCTCTCAGGTACACTTGAAGGCCTTCATTTCCTTTCATTTCCAAACCTCACCGGTTTTAGTCTCTATAATAACAACTTCACTGGATCAGTTCTATATGCTATTGCTAACCTCTCCCAACTTGTTTTCTTGGATCTCAGTTTGAATCATTTTGTAAACTTTATACCATCAGAGATTGGAAGATTAACAAAGCTCCGTTTCTTGAATCTGGGAGGAAACTCTCTTTGTGGTACTATTCCCTCCAAAATAAGCTATCTTCAACACCTTACTTCCATCTCCCTATATGCCAATTCTTTGACTGGCCAAATTCCAGAAGCAATATTCTCCAATTTGAGCAACCTTCAAAGTTTTGATTGTGGGTTGAATTTGTTCCAGGGGCCATTTCCAACAAGTTTAGTCAAGCTATCCAAGCTTAAACGACTTGACCTAAGTGAAAACAATTTCTATGGGTCACTACCTCCTACAATTGGAAATTTAAGCTCACTGACTAATCTTGATCTCAGCTCCAACATGTTGCATGGAAATATTCCAGAAATTCTATGCAATCTTCACTCCCTTAACGCTCTTCATTTATCTAACAATACTTTGAGTGGCATGATTCCTCAATGTTTGGAAAATGCAACCTCACTGAGATATCTTTTTCTCGACTCCAACATGTTGAAAGGAAATATTCCTCGAGCACTTTGCAATTTGTCCTACCTTGAGTATCTCATTTTAAATAACAATACTTTGAGTGATCTAATTCCTCAATGTCTGGGAAATGTAACATCACTTAGATATCTTTTTCTCTACTCCAACATGTTGCATGGAAATATTCCTGGAACACTTTGCAAACTTCACTCCCTAGAGGGCCTTTATTTATCTAGCAATAGTTTGAGGAGTCTGATTCCTCAATGTTTGGAAAATGCAACATCACTGAGATATCTTTATCTAGACTCCAACATTCTAGAAGGAAGTATACCTGGAGCATTTTGCAAACTTCACTCCCTTGAGGTTCTTTATTTATCTATCAATACTTTGAGTGGTCTAATTCCTCAATGTTTGGAAAATGCAACCTCATTAAGATATCTTTCTCTCTACTCCAACATGTTGCAAGGAAACATTCCTAGAACACTTTGTAAACTTCACTCCCTTGAGGTTCTGGAGTTATCTTACAATATTTTGAGTGGTCTAATCCCTCAATGTCTGGGAAATGTATCCTCATTGAGATATCTTTCTCTCATCTCCAACTTGTTACAAGGAAATATTCCTGGAGCACTTTGGAAACTTTACTCCCTAGAGCACCTTTATTTATCTAACAATAGTCTGAGCGGTCTGATTCCTCAATATTTGGAAAATGCAACCTCATTGAGATATCTTTATCTCGACTCCAACATGTTGCAAGGAAGCATTCCTGGATCACTTTGCAAACTTCACTCCCTTGAGGGTCTTGATTTATCTTACAATACTTTGAGAGGACTAATTCCTCAATGTTTGGGAAATGTATCCTCACTGAGATATCTTCATCTAAGCTCTGTCATGCTGCAAGGAAACATTCCCAGTACACTTTGTAATCTTCAATCCTTTGAGGAACTCTATTTACCTTACAATTCTTTAAGTGGTTTGATTCCTCAATGCTTGGGAAATTTAACCTCATTGAGATCCCTTTCTCTGACATCCAATATGCTGCAAGGTAATATTTCAGAAACGCTATGCAATCTTAAAAGCTCTCTGGAAATTCTATTTTTATCCATCAATGGTTTGGTAGGTGCTATTCCACAATGCATGGGAAAAATGAAAATTTTGAAATTGTTAGATGTTTCAAACAACCATCTTAGAGGTATGATAACTCCAACTCCAACCCTTAGGCATGCCGTAAATCAAAAAACAAATTCCAGTTTGATTTATGGAATAGGGACATGGTTGTGTAGTTTGAGTTCCCTGCAATTTCTTGATCTATCCAATAACTATTTACATGGTCCACTGCCTTTGTGTTTGGAGAACTTCAGCAAGGAACTTATGGTTATAAATTTAGCTAGAAATCAATTTCAGGGAACTATTCCAGGAGCATGCACAAAGACAAACAGCTTGCTGTATTTGAATTTGAATGGAAATCACATGGAAGGGCTATTGCCTCAAGGCCTGGTAAATTGCAGCTCTCTTGAGGTTCTAGATCTTGGAAATAACAATTTAAGTGACTCATTCCCTCATTGGTTAGATACTCTTACAAATTTGCGTGTTCTTGTGTTGAGATCTAATCACTTTTATGGTGATATATGCTCTTCTAACACTTCACTTCCATTCCCAAAGTTACATATATTTGATATCTCACAAAATGAGTTCACTGGTCCTTTGCCAAGACATTATATGGAGAATTTTGAAGCCATGCAACATGCAAATTATGGTGAAGTGTTGGATTATTATGATCGTTCAATAAGCCTGGTGTGGAAAGGGATAGAGCTTCAGGTGTTGCATTATAATATTTGCACATACCTTGATTTATCCAATAACTTCTTCCATGGCGAGATTCCAAAATCTTTAGGACGGCTTTGTCTCATCCGGTTTCTCAATCTGTCACACAACCAACTCACTGGTGATATTCCATCATCACTGGGTAATTTTACCGTTCTTGAGGTTCTAGATCTGTCATCGAACCAACTAGTGGGTGTGATTCCTAAACAACTTTCAAAGTCATTAACATTTCTTGCTGTATTGAATCTTTCTTATAATCATCTTTCTGGTCCTATACCTTGTGGCTCACAATTTGACACATTTACCAACATTTCCTATTTGGGAAACACAGCTCTCTGCGGATTTCCCCTAACTATACAATGCAAAGGCAGAGTTGAAGGGCAAGCGCCAAATGTGGAGGATTCACAACATTTTGGGATTGGATTTGGCTGGCAAAGTCTTGCTGTTGGATACTGTTGTGGCATACCCTTTGGTATTGCCATAGGATATCTCATATTAAAGTATGGAAAACCTCGATGGCTTGTGCGGCGATTAGTACTTGGAAACTGAAGGTGGTGGAGGTACAATAATCAAGAAGGACCAGTTAGATGAAGCAATAATTCAGCAATCTTGAAGCAAAATAGTTTCTCTTATTATATGGTTGTAGTTTTTGTTGTGTTTCTCTACTGTTTTTACAATTGTCATATTGTTGTGTGATTGTAGTGTGCTACTGTTTGGTCTGTAATTCTTCTCAATTTGCTTGAAATGGAACAATTCAGTACTCTCAAGATGCATATGAAAGTTTATATATATTATACATTTCTGGTAAAGAAAATGAATTTAACTGAGAGGAAAAAACAAAGAAAATAATAAATTTTTTAGGGAAAATCAACGATTTGGTCCCTCAATTTTTAGCGAAATATCAATGTAGTCCCTTAATCGCTAAATCATCGATTTAGTCCCTTGAAATAACTGTTTTTAGTTGATTTGCCCCCTCTGACCGTTTTCCGTTGAGAATCTGGCGAATGCTCCGATTTGGCATGGGTAAGTTTGTCATTTCACATTTTGGTCCTATTTTTTTTTTGTCCTATTTAATTGGTTTAGTCTTTTTCTTCTTCAACGATACAAGAAATTGAACAGAGAGTAGGTTTGAAGAGATTGAACAGAGAGCAGATTTGAAGAGATTGAACAGAGAGCAGATTTGAGGAAGAGAGAGTTCTGGAGCCCCCGTTTCAGCCCCGGCCGCCGTGGAGACCGCGTTTTCCGACGAGGATAAAGAGAGAGTTCTGGAAGAGAATTTGCTATTGAATCCAAACGATGTTGGAGCGTTAAGGAGTTTGATGGAGATGAAGATCCAGAGCCGGAAAATTGCAGAAGCTATTGGCATTATCGATCGATTGATGGAGATTGACCCGAGCGATACGGAGTGGCCGTTGCTGAAGTCCCATTTGTATGCTTACAGTGGAGAGGTGGAAACGGCGAAAAATGGATTCAATGAGATTCTGGCAAAGGACCCTTTTAGGGTTGAGGCTTATCACGGACTGGTAATGGCTGCATCCGAGTCCAAATCGACCCAGGATTTGAAGGAAATCGAGAAAAGAATCGATGAGGGGATGAAGCTGTGTAAGAAGCAAGGCAAGAAGGCAGAATTTAGGGATTTCAAGCTTTTGGAGGCGCAAATTCGGGTGATTGAAGGAAAGCATGATGAGGCTTTGAAGGTTTATCAGGAATTGGTGAAGGAGGAGCCCAGGGACTTTAGACCATACATATGCCAAGGGATCATATACACATTATTGAGGAAAAACAATGAAGCTGAGAAGAACTTCGAGAAGTTCCGGAGATTGGTGCCCAAGGGCCATCTTTATGCAACATACTTTGATGAAACTATGATTGCAACAAAGGTTTTTGCACAGAAAATGGAGAACGAAATAGCAATGTCCAAGAAATGAAAAGCTTCGGTTTAATTCAGAGCCCCAAATTGGCCTGTTTGAGCTGTTCCTATTGTGGGATACGGTATGCTGCAGTTTCTCTGTTGAGTTATTGACAAGCATATACTTTACATATATTGTTTTGCATATGTGATAGTACTACTCTCTATGGTTTCATATTGTAGAGTACTACTCTCTCTGTTCAATCTCTTCAAACATGCTCTCTGTTCAATCTCTTGTATCGTTGAAGAAGAAGAAGACTAAACCAATTAAATAGGGCAAAAAGAATAGGACCAAAATGTGAAATGACAAACTTACCCATGCCAAATCGGAGCATTCGCCGGATTCTCAACGGGAAACGGTCGGAAGGGGCAAATCAACTAAAAACAGTTATTTCCAGGGACCAAATCGATGATTTAGCGATTAAGGGACTACATTGATATTTCGCTAACAATTGAGGGACCAAATCGTTGATTTTCCCAATTTTTTAAAAAATTCAGAATGCACCTAAGCATTTTATTTGAGAAAATTTCAATTTTGGTCCATTAACTATTGGAGTTGTGTTAATTGCAACACTTGACTATTAAAAATATTAATTTAGTACCTTGACTATGCAATTTCTATCAATTTTGGTCATGCCGGTCAAATTACCCGCAAAAGTGGCCGGAAAAATTTTAATGGTAAACTAATGGGGGTATTTTGGTCTTTTACTTCTTCACTATTCTTCTTCTCCGTTGGGTTTTTTCCAGGCGCAGAACCCATGATGGCCATTGATGGGTTTGTAACTTTGTTTGCATCCAGAGCATTTAGACCAAGAAAATTGGCAACAATGGCTTCAACCACAGTATTAGTTTAAGGGAAAATGGCACTTTTTCCCCCTATGTTATATGCTTATAGCACTTTTTTCCCCTGAGTTATTCATGCATCCACATTTGCCCCCTCAATTATTATAAAAGTGGCGGCTTTTCCCCCTGATAATATTAAATAGACATTTTTACCCTTAAAATACATATTTTATTTATTTCTCTTGTTCAACAAATTATTGTTTATACGTAGGGATGGCCACGGTTCGGTTCGAACTGAACCGAACACTATAGCAATCAAATAAAAAAAATCGGTTATGATTCATAACATAAACCAATATTTGGGTTTCCGTTTATTAAAATTGTGAAGTGGACAAAAAATAGATTCTGAACCGTGAACCAGAGGTTCAAATCGGAACAACTACTAGCAATAGCTTAAAATTAGAATTATAATATTTGCAAATAGTGTATGTTTTTTTCGCATTTATATTGACTCTCACATATAAGTATATATAATCGCGGTTTGGTTTTTATTTTGAATCGTTGTTTCACAATTTCGGATCCAATTTGAACTGTTGGTTCAAACATTATTTTAAAATTTTATTATTTTATTTTTAAAGTATTCTAAATTCAACAATTAATGTATTTTATTTTTTTCAAATTGTGGTTATAATTTGTTGGAGAAGTAAAATAAAGGAAATATTTATTTTAAGGGTAAATATGTCCATTTAATATATCAGGGGGGGAAATTGCCACTTAAATAATATAGGGGGAAAAAGTGCTATAAGTATATAACACAGGGGGAAAAAGTGCCATTTTCCCTAAAGTATATTATAAACTTGTATACCACATTAATTAAATGATTTATAAAAACTAGACTAAAAAGCATTTAATTTGTTAATTAAATGATTCATAAAAAGTAGACTAAAAATATTTAATTTATCTTGTGAAGAAATGAAAGAGGGAAGATAATTAAAATGTTGCTAATGAGATTTGAACCCATGACAAAAGCCTTTTATAACATAAAACTTTGAGTTCAACCAACTAAACTACTTAAACTATTGATATTTTCAACATAAATATAGATTTTGTATAATATTTCATGCTATATATGTATACAACATACATATATATATAAAGGGGTGGGGTGGGGGAGTGGGAGCAGTTGCCCCCACACTGGGTCCGCCCCTGTATGTGGATCCTTTAATCATATAGTAAGGTTGGATCATATGTGGATCCTTTAATCGTGTGCTTGTTGGTTTAAATGGCTGAGCTGGGGAAAGGTGACAGTGGGTCAGAGAATCTCGAGCTAACAATGGTTATGTGAAAAATGTCAAAAAGTACCCGCTTCTAGCATTAAATGCGGTATTTATAGCGGAGGAAGGGAGACACATGTCGGCCTTTTGGCAAGTTTGACATGTGTTATACATGCCGTCGGTTGGCTCGGGAACAACGCCATGATAGCCACATGTCGCGTCTGTTGAGATTCCTGACCACTCACTAGGATGGGGTTGGGTTAAGGCCAGGAATCAGGGTTGGTCCCAAGGCATCAGAGCACTACTGCAATCTTTAATTAGCTTGGTTACCACGCTGAGGTCGGGTACCGTCAAGATAATGATTTGTCAAGATCGGGAACGATTCCTCTCGGCGACCTGACCGGTTAACGAGCAGGTACACAGACGATACGTGGAGGGAGTATACTGGATGAATTTTCCCTATCAAGTAGTCCCGCCAGTTTGTACTCTGACGTCGATTCAGCGAGGAAGGGTTCAAACTAAAATATCCAACCAAAAACAAATCCAAAACCCCCCTTATCTGGCCAGAATCTAGTGTGGTACAAGTTCACATGGTGAGGCGTGGATCACCGTTCGGGTCACATGATCAAACATGTGTCAACATACAATAAATCGTTTATGGATCCGTTCTGAGTTTTGAATTTTTCCCACCGCTCAACGACTGTAAATAAGGTACGATGGTGAACCAAACCCACTTTTGCGTACATGCAGATTCGAGAGCTTCCCGAGCAGATTGCCTAGCGAAACTTTCGCATTTGAGTGTAGAGCAGCTTCCTTTCAAATTCATCGGTAATAATCTTCTCTCGAACTTACTTAATTTTAAGCTTTTATTTTCAATACTTAGAGTCTACACCCGACCTGTCTTTCCCATTCTAACATGTCTTTCCCTCCTAAAGGAGGAGACATGTCAGATACCGACAAAAGCACTACTATTTTAATCCTTTAGCCGTGATTTTAACGATTTAGTATGGAGTAGCAGTTTAACGAAGTTATATTGCTTTCGATCGGCTTTCGTACCGATGGACGGAGGCAGTATGGGGGAAATGGGGGCAGCTGCCCCCACTCCCCCACCCCACCCCTTTATATATATGTATATATTAACATATATAGCATTAAACATTATATAAAATTTATATTTATGTTTAAATTACTAATTGTTAGAGTAGCTTAGTTGGTTAAATTTCAAATTTGATCTTAAAAAAAAGTGTATGGTCATTAAAACACATTCTCTCTTATCTCCACTTACTTATTTTATCTTCTTCATTCCTTCCCAAGAAAAATATTTTTTTAGCCTAATTATGAATCATTTAATTAAGAAATTAAATGCTCTTTTAGTCTACTTTTTATGAATCATTTAATTAATGTAGTATATAGGTTTATATTATACTTCATTGTATTTAAATTATTTTATTTAATTGATTATGTTTCATATTTTGTCATAAATATTTTTACATTTTCGCCCCCCAAGTATATTTTTGGCTCCGACTCTAACTATCGTTTAATCTATAAAAAACATATCGATTGTAATTTATAATATATTTTGTATTTTAACCTTATTATGATTGTTTGATATTTTATAATTGATATTTCTAACGTCATTTAAACTTCGCTCCCACTAAAATATTTTTCTTCTCCCTCACTAAAATATTTTTCTGGTTGTTCGTACCTATATTGCTTTCGATTTTTTTAAAAATTGATACGACGTCGGTTAAAAGAAAAAAAAAAACGACGTTGTATCTATATTTTTTAAAAAAAGAAAAAAAGAGATGTGACGTAGATTTTTTGAAAGACTGACGTCGTCTCTCTATTTTTTTTTTTTAAAAAAAAACATGACATATGATGTCCGTTTTTTAAAAAAGAAATGTCCTACGTCGTATGTAATTATTTAAAAAATTAAAATTAATATACAACGTCGGTTTTAAAAACGGATGTCGTATAATTTATTTATAACGTCTGCTAGAACTACGTCGAAAAATAACCGACGTCGTATGCCCAAAATAACTGACGTTAAAAGGTGTTTTTGTTGTAGTGTGAGTAACAAACATTTATTCAAACTATAATTTATAGACCAAGTTTGCGTTTAAATCAGTCTTTGGGTCAAATTTAAATACATTGTCAATTTACTGACACTACTGGAAGTTATGGAATTTCCGACCATCTGAAAGTGATCTTAAATTAAGTCGAAAGCCTTGTTCCGACCACTTTTGGTATCCGGAAAAATCTTTGTTGCTATTTCCGACCACTTTTTGGTATCAACTTGATTTAAGATCACTTTCAAGTAGTCGAAAATTCCATAATTTCCAGTAGTGTGACATGCATCATTCACACATACTTAAATGAGACTATTCATCAAGTTTAAATTTAATATATAAGCGATCTTTAGACATGCGCTATATATTAACAAAACAAGAATCATAATCTCCTAAATTGTCATTAATCACATGTCTGATCCATGATTTGATAGGGACAAACCATATACGTACAGTACGTACATGAACGCTACGGCATGCAATACTAACATATATATAGTTATGTATCTACTATACTAATAAGAGCCCAAGAGAGTTAGGCCTATAATGGGTAGAAAAAATGGCGGTCAAAGTTTTTAATCAAATGAATGGCTCAGATTGATCAGATTTTAATTTTTCCTTAAGATTTCCTAATTTATCCTTAATGAATATGATTATCCGTTAACTTTTCTGTTAAATATTATCTTTTCCATTAATTTATGTTAGTTCACCGTTAACTTACTCATTGAATTCAATAAGAAAGGTCTTAGGTTCAAACCACATCCTAATCAAAGTTGGCATAATTAATACTCTATTTTACTCTTATTAAATTAAATAATAATGTAGTAGCTACAACAAAAAATAATACATATGCATTTCTTTAATTTAGATTTATGTGTCTACAATGTCTTTATTTAAAAAAAATTATTCATTATCAGATCAATAAATTAAATAAGAGAAATAATTTCATTAGTTATATTGTATTTATTTTTTTCTAATATAAAAATTCTTTACATTCAAATTTATCAATTTATTATATTCGCTACATTGTCCATACAA